CTGTCAACAACGAACGAAAAACTAGTTTGTACTAGATTGAATGGACCTTAGAATTCATTTTTACTCATCGTTTCACCTCTACCAGAAATCTAATTTCACCATTATTCGTGACTATATTTTGTGAATCAAGTGTTAGAACTCCTTTGGTAAATTTTGTGCGTATCCCGAGGTATACTCATCGGGAATGTTGGATTGTGAATTTTACGTCTGGAATATTGTTCTTACACAAATCTGGTAGTTCATATAACTTCCTGAAAGTATTAATTGCAACTTTGATGTTCTTTTGTTATGATGTTGAATCTTCGGAACCTAATTATTTGTCAACAACCTCGCACGCAAACCGAGTTTACATGAATACTCACTACCTTGATAAAGCAATATTGTTGTTAGTTAAAACTTTTAAAAGTATTATCAAGTCTATGCAACTTATCTTAGATAAGAATGTCAGATCTCAGTTTTTGCAATTCAATATTTTAACGAATACACTAGAATCCTAGTAAAACAATCATAACTCTTGATGTATAGATTACGATGGCGAATCTTATTAGGACTTTCTTAGGCTTACTGAGTTCTCCCTAGATAAAATATACGGTCGAATAGTGTTCAATACTTGGATCTGATTCCTTATATGTCAATTATATTCATGCCATTCAGTTTCTGTAGAATATATGAGTTTCTCATGAAGTTTCTTCGAATATACACAATTCCGTGAGGATGACACGTATTTAGAGTGAATGAACGAATTAGAATCAGAAAAACAATAATGTCCAATTATTCTTCATACTCGTCGATAGTCATGACGACGATTTTTTGAGTTTCAAAAATATCATGCGTATAATAATGGATCAGATTGCGTTGCAATTTCAATTTTAAACATTGAGAATCTTCGTGTTTATGAATGTTAATAACAGCTAGACCATGGAAAATTATTTCCCTATTTCATTAGCCTAACAAAAAATCGACAGCCACAGTGAACATGAGCAGAATTCAAGAGGAAAACAACTCATTTTTATGACATTAAAGTTAATTAAATCACGTAGATCATTTAAGTCAATTGTTTCCTCATTGATTTCATGCCATTATACACTTCTAACAAATAAGTTTCAATTTCTTGATGAGAATATTTCTTCTAGAGACAATAGATATAACGATTCAAAACAGATGTTGCCTTTTTTATAGTTTCAATCAAACGAGTGTCACAGATTTATATACAATATAAAAGATCAAAACTAGTTAATAAAGAGATGAATTTCGCATTTTTTTCTTTCATTCACTACACGAGTAAATACAAACATAATCATGCGACTTTCGTTCCCATTGCTCTTATTTTATATTATCTTAACAATTACACTTACAAGCGCTGCTGACACAAGTCTCAACTCCACTTCTTCGACGTGTACTTGCATGAAAGCTTGTACTCCTTACGTTCGGCAAAAGTACAATGATTGTGTGCATTTTTGTTCATATAACACAGAGCCGATTCCTCCATGTATGTGTGACAAAAAATATACCGATGCTAGAGCTCGCATAGTTTTTTCATTCACTGCATGGCCAGTAAGTATCGTAATTTTTACAGTAGCTTTAGATGACAAACTATCAGATAATAAGAAGTATTGAATTGTGCGAAAAAATTTAGAATTTAAAAACTTGTTCTCAATCAGTCTTTTAATTTCTGTGTATTGTTCTATTCAAAATTCTCTTTTTCATTCCTGGATCATTGACATATTTATGATATAAGTGATTTAAAAAAACAAGACTGAAGAAACAAACTTCTGTTAACTGAAAGTCTTCAATAGGGATGTACGCGGAAAAATCTTCGCAATGGGTTTCTCGGTAATATAAGATCCCATTTCTTAGCAGATACAGGCATGACAAATAGAATATTCTACTCGATAGAATTCTGTGTCTTAATTCAATTGAGTGTTGATAGATAACATCTAGTTTTTCAGGTCGTTCATGCTAAAGAAAATGTAATCAATGACGATTTGCTTTTATTAACTGAAGCTCCTGACATACATTCTCTTGTCTCCCTGCATGGTCTCCGATGTATACGAAGAATCATGTGATTTCTTTATGTACTAAATGTGAAATGTCTGTGTATATGTGGCATCGTAGAATTTTGTTTGCTTAACACTAGTGAGTTTTCTTCATTTGGATCAGTATCATGATCATGTTCCACTTTGATCGTCGTAGTACATTCTTTTCACGCTTTCTTTTAGAATTCCAATCCTCCTAGAACCCGAGCTGATTGTGAAAAATCGTGCGAGGCAACAAAGGGCTCGAACAATGCATTGTTTATATGGACCTCAAGGACTTGCTTCTGTCGATGTCCAAATTATGATGAGCTTATCGGTTATGGAATTCATTAATGTATCCAATCCAGTATTTACATATTTTGAATATTCATATGTTCAATAAAACGAATATGTAATGAATTCATAGTGGATAATATGTATATTTGTGAGAATAACAGTAATAAAAGAAATTGAAACTTCTAACCCATTAAAAAGGCTCCAAATGATTTGATAAGTAATAATACGTAAATGCTAAGTGAAATAAGTAATTTGTAATAAAAACAAAATAGAATTATCTAAGATGAAAATTGTTTATATGATAGTATGATGAGTGTATTTTCTCTCTTATGCTTTCCTTTCATCAGTAGTTATGGAGAAATAATTCTCCGTAAGTTTTGCACAAGAATGGTTAAATAATCATGACTTTCGGTGACATGCATTTAGAGAACGACGTACACTATGAAGACTTTTTAAAACTGCAAATGGTACTATAAATATATGATCCAAGTCTTATTATTAGAGTTAAACAAGTAACATTATCTTTTCGACAGAATCGACAACTACGCTGAAAAAATAGGTTAATGCATATAATTTTGCAGAGTCCTCGAACGAAATATTACAAGCACAATTTAGAACAATAGGTAACACCAACTACATATACTTGAGAGTAAGACAACAAGCATTACAAAAAATAAGATGCAAAAATATAATTAGGAAAAACTGGTCGTCATCTGACCAATTGAAAGACCTTACATTGAAAATATAAAAAAACACCTTTGCCAGACTATGTGTCATAATGGGCATATGGAATTAGCCATTATCCAAGTTTTTTTTTTCAAATATAGTTATACACACATAATTGGTACAGCAATAATAAGATTGAAATTTTGCAAGCCACTTTCAACAGTAAAAGATATACCTTCGGTTAAAAGTAAACAAGAAAACGAAGGCAACCATGAAAAACAACAAAAAATTCATTAATACAATAAATCTGCAATTAAATTTTTTACTTATATTCCTAGGTCTTTTTTACTGAACAAAATTATCATATTTACTAATTGATTTAGAATATTTTGCCTAGACAATCAATGTTTTCATTACAATTTAAGGGCCTCCCTCCCCAAAAAAAGTCAATTTTAGTCAAATCCATCAATTTTGTGGTTTTTAGCTCGTTAGATAGAGCTAAGCGTCTACTTTCGAATGCACTATAGTTGATTGAATTTATGATGAAATTTAAGGATATTACATAGGCTTTTCTGAACCTCCCATAGAGGAAAATAACGCTTCCTCTAAAAAATTTTGGTTTTTTTTCAAAATAAAATTTTTAATTTTTACGTTTTCATGAGTCCCAGATTTCTCCACCATTTTTAACGCTAGAAAGCTGGGCTTGGTGTCAAAATGAAGATAAAAATTAGCTCTGCAACTTAACACAGCCGGATTTTTCAATATCTCTATTGATATTTATAAAAAAGCTAACTGTTCTAAACCTACACCCCTTGGACTTTTCAAACATCATCAAAAGAGTTTTCTCAAAAACACGAGCTACGAGAAAATCAAAAAATCGGACCCTGTTAAGTTGTAGCGCCACATCTTAGCTACATTTTAAAACCGATCTGAACTTTCTAACATTTAAAATAGCGGAGAAATTTGGGACGCATGAATACCTAAGTTTTGACCAAATATCTCACGCTACCTTTTCGTAGACTCAATGTATACAGCTAAAATTTTTACTGTGAGGTGTCTAGCTCAGGATACATCTTCCCTGAAAATTTCATATTTGAGGGAAGAGGAGTCCCTTAAATGAATTACTCACGAAGAATGGTATTTTTTACTTAGCTTTTTATAAAAGTTACTTGACATTTCAATAAGAATCTTGTTTCATGAATATCTAGATTCCGTAGGTAGTAATGCTAAATTTATTGATGTATCAAGAGCTGAAAACACATGAGGTGTACTTAATGGAAAAATGTTTGATACATCATTACAATCAGAAAGCGAAAATACAAAAAATAGAGAAGTGTATGGAGTGTGGGTATTCGTCGCTTTGCCATATCCCTCATCCCACCTCCTCACCAGTCCACAACCACATCCACACCAACGGCACTACTCATACCCGTCCGCACCCACACCCTCATGCAAAGAGGTGAAACTAGCGCTAGCATTCGGGCGCATTTGCATAGTCAGATATACCATTCATCATTCAACATTTTCTTGGCAATTGAAAATCTTCGGCAGAATTCCAATCCACGCAATGCAGAATTAAAACCTCATCACGCTTAGCCAAGCGCCATACGTTTCTTTGTATTCTACTGAACAACTCTATCTCCGAGAAGTTGATTAGGTGCCATACTCTACTTTTCATAAATCATGATTAGAGTTTCCTTGCAATTGAAAAATTCCGGTAAAATTTCAGTAGAATTCTGTTTCACGCAATAGTATTCAGAAATGAATGTCCACAGACAAACGAAATACCGATGTATCAGGGTGTGAATGTGCGTGTGCGTGTCGATCTTATCTTCACTAGCACGTACATCCACACCCTTTTTTTAACTGTATTAATTTTTATTCAAATAAAAATTTTATAGTTTAAAAACGGATCTAATAAAAGTTAAATGAACGTGTTTCAATTTTTAAAAATCATGCTGGAATAATTTCTTGATCATAAAATTAAAAAAGGCTGCTTGATTATGATTTAAGAAAAAACAACTAAAAACTACCACACGGTTGAAATTCTTTGTCTTCCTCTTCTGGAATCACTGAATCTACAATTTGATCTCTACATGCTATCCTAATTCGTTCACATGTTGCTGGTATATTTAATTTAAACGGTTTCTTTTCTCGACGATAAGCTGAGATTGCTTGTTTTATAGCAAAAAACACAGTTGCTGATAGAAATAAAGGTGGTTCACCAACAGCTTTTGATGAATAACAAACAGCATGTTCACTTGATTCGTGTGCACTTAAAAGTGTAATACGAAAATCAATTGGTAGATCATTTGCCATCGGTATTTTATATTTATTTGGATCAGCATTGTGAAGAGAACCACGTTGAGATATCCATGGATGCTGAGAATCACCTTGAATAAGTTCTTCGAGAGTAAGATAGCCAACACCTTGCATGAATGCACCTGTAAAGAGAAAGAGAAAGAAATTCTGAAGTTTAAATTTACAATTTGAAGATATATCTATCAGATATAGACACAAAAATGCTTGTATGCCTTTTCAAAGAAAAATAATTTTGAATAGGAGCTAGAGCGCTACTATTTTATGCTTCCGTAGTGGGGTGCATGTGAGTATCATGTTAAGCCACACCCACACCCACACCCTCACATATTTCTTCAAAAGTACATTTTTTTATGCAAGTTGCGAATCGTTTCTTTCTGATTTGCATCATTATTAAACATTGCTAAAATGTAAGTGTGAAAAAAGAAGCACTAACTGTGCTTCATCTACATGACAGACAAAAATTGGTCTTCTTTCATTTTTAATTTCTAGACGCGGATCTTATAGAAAATGTTGAGCCTACCCTAGAATAAAAATGTTCCGCCATCTATGGCGGATAACAACAAACTCTGAAAAAACCAATTCTGTATGAGATCGTACTGTATGTTTTCATTTATTAATCTAATTGATTTGTTTTAGTATTTATATTTTTATTGAGTTATTTATAAATATTTTTACCAAATAAACTACTACATATAGGAGAAAAATATTTTAAACTCTAAAGCTCTTCTTGAATCTACTTGCTGAATTACAAATCAGATTAATTAACTTATTTTGTAAATGCATTCCAATAGGAGCATTAAGCGTAATATTAAAGTTACCAAATGTCTGTTTTTAATTTGTACATGCATAATGAAATATTTATTCAGATCTTGATTCTTCTACTGCTGAACTTACCACTTGGAATTCAACGCTTCTATACCGGTGTGACATCGAGTATAAGTATCCCTTCCAGTAGCTATAGAAAACCTAATCTATTAATTATTGTTCCAATTCATTTTTTTGCTTATTCGATCTCATTTTACTTAATATCTCGTGCTGCACTCAAACACAGACAACCAAGCAAATTATGTCATATTTAAATGTCTCTATAATGATTAAAGAACACTTCAGATAACTATTAATCGATTCAAAATCTAATATTCTTCGTGTCTATGTCTTTCAAATATTTGTCATCGAGACTGTTTTCTATCTATTTCTATTTACGATATCAAAAGCAATTGAAAAAGTATTATGTTATACCACAAATAATGTTTAAAGTATTTGCTCGTTTTTACAAGTAATCTATCACTTATTCCCTAGACTGTAAGGATAGGGTCTAGAAACGGGAATTGATCGGTTTTCACGTATATCGCTTTTGTCGGTAACATGGCACAAGTGACCATTTTTTTGGTACAAATGACCATTTCTGTAAGTATGGTACAAAAGATTATATAGTACCCATATTACAAATCAGCATATGACGTATAATAAAATTTTGACAAGTGAATCAGAACAAATACGTAATTTTATGACGTATGAAAACGATATTATTTTAAATGTGGTTTTTTTTCGAGCATGAACAGCGCTAATTTTATTAGCGCTTTTTTGTACTCAGAAGAATTTTAGTATTACCATTTTAATCTTAATCTTATAACTTTCTAACACATATGTGTCGTTATGACGTCAGTCTAGGGCCAGGTGAATCGACTGTCGATGAACGTTACTTGTCTGACTGATGAGTACTATTTTGCCAGATAATCTTTGCTTTTAAGTATTTTTAATTGTCATTCACGGCTCGATCATATCACACTCAACTTCAAGATTCTTCATCATTGTCTTTTTTTTTACAGAAAAAATTTATTGTTAGGATAGACAGAAAAAGCTCTCAGCTACATCGTCTTCATCAGAGTAACTTGTAAACTGCAATATCATTTGCTATGAAGTTGACATGGCCTCTGATTGTGGCAACGACTTTACCGGTGGCGTCCGTATACGTATATCTAAAGCTTGTGGATCCACTTGTCTCACTGCTTTTATCGAGTACGCGAATGTCATGACCACCACCGAATATCGAATCGTAGCCTGTTGCGCTGTAGATGGCATACTGTTCATAGTCACCTTTGATTAAATACCGTGTAGGTAAGATGAAATTCGGATTTATTAAGCTGAATATAAACGTCCTGAGATCATTGTTATAAGTATTTGATGAGTTCCGGACAACATGAGCATGATCGCCGAAAAGGTAGTCTGTCTTAAATTGGATAATGGTAACTATTTGTGCTTGTCTGCCGCAGTTACGATGAAAATTTATAGCTCTGAACCCATTCCGTGTGATCTTATAGATCAGCTTTCGTGTAGAATTTACCGTTCGTGTAAATTTATTTTATGCTTGCTTAGTATTGAAGAGCAAGAATATCGCCACCTTCAAAAAAATAAAGAATGTGTCTTTTTTTCGTATTTTTTCAATATTCAATTCTAATAGAGAACAATAGCCCTATATTTGAAGCGTCGTCTATATTGAATGAACAAAAATTGAAACTTGTTTCATTTTATCAGTACACTTTTGAATTAGGCATCGTGAATGAAATATGTTAGAAGAATGTCCTTGTATTGCTTCACAGCTTCAAAACATACCAACGTAAGTCTACCATTAACGTGTCTAGAAGAGTCTAACAGACGCCAGATACTTTTAGTTCTATTTTCTACTGATGAGTTCAAATAAAACTACAGCAATATATGTAAAAGAAGGCAGAGAATTATGACATACCTCGGACTTTATTCTGCACATGAAATGCATCCCCAGTGGAAATCCGAATAGTTTTCTCCCCGGTTCTGTAGCAACTCCAAGCAGGCTCCTATCAGGAGTCATTGATTTTTCCTAAGGAAGCATCTCAGTTCTGTTAAAAACGTACAACTTAAAAGTATTCAAGATCTTGTCAAGATTTCAGACAGACTCTATCATGATTCTCAATAATTTTCATTATTTTTGCACAACAAACTGTTACAGGAAACTCATGAATTCTGAATAAAACGTGTAATGAGGCGTTCAAGATCTAGCCAAGATTTGAGATATGATTGGATCGAGACCTTAAATAATTGTTCACTATATCTGGATTCGAACTCACGTCAGCCAGAATTTCAATCATTCATGTTGAAAAGATTTTCAATAATTGACAAGATTAGTCAGTCAGAAACCAAAGCACTTGGTCAAGTTTCTTGAAAGAAACTTAACAGGATCATGTCAAGATCTTATTGATATTATAGCAAGATCGTGGCAGGATCTAAATGGCAGCCTTAAGCGAACTTTTTTTTTCATTCTCTTGACCTATACAGACGTCAAGATTTGTCCATAGCGCATAACTTTCTTGCTCAGGACAAGCGCTTGAATCTTTGCATGAGTTAGAAGAAACTCATGTGCTCAATCCAAGAAAATGCAACTATGATTTTTTATTAAAAGTTGAGTTATTTTGAACGTAAAATTGGAAAAAAACTAAAAAAGTTCCCTAATAAAAGAAACGCTTGGGTAAGAATTCAAGCGCACGCGTAAGAATATCAAGCGATAGAACAAGAAGTTCAAGAGCTTGATCTCACCGAAAGGTCTCAAGTCTTGCCTCAAAATTTGTCCATAGCGCATGACTTTCTTGATCACGGTTCTCAAGTATCTCTTGTGCAGAGCAAAAAAAGTCCGTCTAGGGTGATTAGAGAAAAGAATCTCCGAAAAAACCTCCACTTCATTCCGTTTCATATTGCAACATGATGTCTCACTCTGCTTAAAAGTTAACTATGACATACTGAATTCTCATTGATCTACGACTCCAATACAGATATCGACTTTATTCTGCTCTAGATGATATAATTCATAAATCAACACGCTACTCAATAATTTCACTATCCTATTGAACACCATTATCGTTTCCCGCATACACAGATGAAGAGTAGCAACTGTCAAATAAATCGGATCATCTCTTTCATGTACCCATCTGCACTTTTTCACACAGACACTCACCATGCCATATCTCCAAGTCAATCAAATCGAAGATGAAGGAGCACAACGTTTGGCTGATGTATGACGAAATAGTTGGGTCGCAATCATTCATTGGTGTATTTATTGAGATGACATGTTGTTTGAGTACTGGTTTACGAAGTAGCATGAGAGTTTAACTGTTTGGTTTTATACTGTAATGAAGTTTGGAGGAGTGAGTTTCGTAGTGACCGTTCGCGTATGAGCGGCTTTATTAACAGAAACCGGATTGATTTAGCTTACATGTATTGTGGGCTTTCGGGGAAGGTGAATTGAAATAGATGTGTCGGTTTAAAGGATGATTTATGTTGTGAAAAAGGAAGTAGTATGTTTGGATGAAATTTGAAGTAGATTAGTGACGGTGGGCACATTTCGGAATGTGGCTGTAATTTTTTTTAAATAATATATTTCTCGTTTAAGACTGAGTGTGGCGCACTTTAAATTAGTTATCTTATCTGAGCGATGACAATATAAAGTCTATTCTCTGTCATAGAGACTTGAATATTTAGGCGAATATCTGTCATGGAGATAAGTTCTGTATGCGAAATCTTCGCCGAAACAGTGAAAGATTTACAATCGATGTCTTATACCTTTAATATTACTGGCCTATTTTATAGGATCGGGAAGAAGAATGTGTAGATCAGTAAAGTTCCTGAGGAGACTGACTTTGATTCCATTGATTTTTTTTTCTTGTATGATTGTAATACTTGTTTTGATGTTTCAGAGAGAAATAACATCTAAGACGATAGCTTCTATGTATTACTTTTCACTGCTCGCTCATAGGATATATGAATTCATATGAATGTTTAATAAGAATTATTTGGTTGTCGCTTTCCAGTTATATTTCTTAGATGTTTAAAATTAATTGGAAAAGTCTATAATCGATGCTATTCTGACGTGTGAAAGAAAGAAACCTTTAGTTGGATATCTGCACGGGCATGTCAAGTTTTTGTAAAATATGAGTGAAGCATATAGTTATTATTTGACATTCAATATTCGTGTATATTTCTGAGCATTTTAAACGGCAAGCAGAAAACTATCACTTTGTCGTATGAGTAACTTTTGATAACAAATTTCAGGCTAACATCTAAAGATGATCACTATGAAATTTATT